AAAAGCTCATTGGAGCCAAGAGGTGGAAACAACCCACATATCCATCCAAGGATGAATGGAAAAACAAATATGGTAGATACGTCCAGTGGAATACTATGCAGCCTTAAAAAGGAAAGAAATCCTGTCACATGCTGCAACTTGGAAAAACCCTGAGGTCATTATGCTAAGTGAAATAAGTCAGTCATGAAGAGACAAATGCTGTATGATTCCACTTATATGAAGTACCTAAAGTTGTCAAATTCTTAGGGACAGAAAGTAGAAAGGAGGTTGAAAAAGAGAGAAAAAGAGAGTTGTTTAATGGGTATAGAGTTTCAGCTTTGTAAAATGACAGGAGTTCAGCAGATCTGTTTCGTATCGATGTGAATATTTTTTTTTAAGTAAGATGAATTAGCACAGCACACTTAAAAATGGTTAAGATGATAAATTTCAAAAAATGAAAAAGAAAACTCATTGGTAAATGTATTGAAAAGGCTGGTATTTCAAGCATTTGTCAGGAAATTATGCCTAAGTAAAGGCATAGCACAAAAAAACATTTTAATATCAGCACCCACGTTTTCTTTCCTGCTCCTGGGTCGTTCCTATCTGCAATAAAATCCCTGCTGCTAGTTCTTCCACGTTTTAAAAAATCTTGTTTCCGAATAATCCAAATTGGTGGGAACTGATCGTTTTGGAAGCAGAGTGACACTTATTGTTCTCTTTTGTGTATACGTGAAATTTTCCACAAGAGAAAAAAACATTACGAATTTCTTCCTGTTGAAAGAGATGGCGACAGCAAAAAAAAATTTGTTTTAATCTATGTTGATGTTGAAAAGAGATATATTTACAACAAAATTATTTAGAAGGGTTAAAAATAAAGAGATGAACAATAACATACTAGAGAAATGCTTTCGAAAAAGAATTAGATATGATAATATTAGTATTCCAAAAATATAACTCAAAATGAAAATATTAGACATGACAAAAGGAAGAATACACTGTTGAAAGGTAGAAACCTTAGAATGATTCTTTATGCACGTAGATAGTAAAATGTAAAGTAAAAATTGTTAGAAAAATAAGGAGATATTAACAAATCCAATGTCACCGCAGAAAACTTTAACCTAATCAACAGATCATGTAGGGTGATCATAAGTAAAAAATCTACAGAATATTTATAAAAATGATTATGCACTGGTCCTCCACGGGAAAAAACTCCATAAATTCTAAAAAGTAGAAATCACAGAGTGTTTCTTCTCTGATCTCAAGGTAACAAAATTAGAAAGTCATTGTCAAAAGACAGCAAAGAAAAAAAGTCCCCCTCACAAAACATATTTTATTAATTCCTTTTAAATAACTTGGATACCAGAGGATATCAAACCTAAAATCTCAGACTATTTTCAGTGTGGCATATCAAAAGCTATGGGATACAGTCAAACTGGTACTCAAAAAAATGTTATCGTCTTAACTATAGATGTTAAAAAATAATGTTGAAAACAGAAGAACTGACCATTCAGGTAAAAGAAGAAACAAAAAGAACAAAATAAACCTATAGAAAATAAAATGAGGTGAATTTCGTCTTATTCCATTGTGTCTTCCTCTCAGCCCGGTCTCTCCTTTGAGTGTTGTTTTATTTCAAAGACCACGTTCTGTTTTTATTTTGTTTCTAAACCTATTGCTGTAGCCTTATTATCTTTACAAAAATGTCTTCCAGAATCTGAAGTAGACAACTTTTTTAGTCTTCAGGACGTTGTTCCCTTTCCCCCATTCTACAGTTTAGTTTTTCCCACCAGCCTACATTGAAGATTTTTTTTTTTTAATCCTCTACAGGGAGAGTTATCTAAACTCAGTATTTGTCAGCACCCCCAAAGCAGTCTTTCCACAGCTTTGCTGGCTGCTCCCCTGAGTTTTGGTCAGATCTGCATGGAGGCTGATGTGAATTTCTCGGTGCCCAACTCCATTTAATCAGTGGGCATCGTTAAGTACGGCTCTGCTGTGAAGAGGTAGAATTTTTTATTCCCTCCGTTGCTGAGAATCTGAATTGAGGATGTGGTACCACCAGAATCCACTCCTGTGCCCAAGGCAGACATCACTGATAAATAATCGTGGCCGATCACTGAGCCTCAGACTCTTGCTACACACAATTCTCCAAGTAGTCTTCATTCTCTGTCAACAATCATCATGTAAGATGGAATCTATTTTTCTACTCTGCTCCAAATCAATAGAGCACATGCAGATTCCTGTCTCTAGTGCATACACCACATGGTCACTCACTGCCCTGGACCAGAGTTCTGGCATTGCTGCCACCTTTGGCCTGGCTTCTCTATAACTAACTTTCTTCCCCCATAAGCCCTCCTTTTAACAAGTTATCCCCTCCCCCAATCAAATAAATATGTAGCTCGAAGGTAAAGATAACATGTCAAGGTTTTTTGTTTTTTTTTTTTTAATAATCTTGCAGCCCTTTTGGATACCCTCAGTGACCCTAACTTGGGTCATAACCTGAGGTTAGGACCTAATAACTGGCATTTAATTTCTGGCAGATTTCCAGTCATCTCCATGTTGACCGAACTCAGTTATCCCCTCCCCCAATCAAATAAATATGTAGCTCGAAGGTAAAAGATAACATGTCAAGGTTTTTTGTTTTTTTTTTTTTAATAATCTTGCAGCCCTTTTGGATACCCTCAGTGACCCTAACTTGGGTCATAACCTGAGGTTAGGACCTAATAACTGGCATTTAATTTCTGGCAGATTTCCAGTCATCTCCATGTTGACTCGAACTCAGTCTGGAATGATCTAAAATTAAATTACATTGTCTTTGCTCTTTCAAAAACAAAGTGTCTTTATCATAGCTGCTCACTACCTACATTTTGAGCATTTTAGACCAAAAACAAAAGGTATATACAGAACAATAATCTTACAATGAATTTAATTTCCTACTTACTTCCTCGGCATCATTCGTTACAGTGGGTAGTTCAAAGAAAAACACCTCACAGACTCCCCTGTGTGTGGATCTTTAATAGAGATTTTAAGAAGTCCCCCTCGGGGAAGAAGACCTTGGAGTCGATCAAAGCACAAAGGATTTTTCCAGAGAAAAGCAACAGAAATGCAATGCCAACTGATTGAAACAGAACAGGGGGTTACCGGGAGGGGAGTGGGTAGATCGTGGACAGGAAGAGCCGCGGCGGCATAGATCAAGCCAGTTCTGGGCGTTCTGACCCTGGCAGGCCTCCTCCAGCCTTCCTTTGGGATGTTTTGGGCCTGGGCTCCTCTTTGGCATACAGGCTTTCTCCACACAGCAGGACCAGGCCCCAGGGGTCATATGTCAACCGTCACCCAGAGACATTGGCCAAGGGGGTGGGATACTCTGAGAGTCCAGGCATGGGTCCTCTGCTCGCCCCTGGAGTCCAGACGCAGGGCCTGTGGCCAGACAGAAATGGAGCGGGAGTAAAGGCGTGCGGGGGACGGAGGGGACCTCAGAGCCACAGCTACTGCAAAACCGGTATGACATCCCTCACCTGTACTGCAATGACTAACTCTGAGCACAGGATTTAAAGAGGGCAAGGGAAGGACACTGGAGATCTGATGCCTTAGAAGTCACTAGAAGAAGTCACTAGAAGTGGAGAGGTCGCAATGATGAGGACAGGGCATCGTCCATTCCACACTTTTCCCGAGAGTCAGCTCTGACCCCTAAGAGCATCAGAGGAGAAGCACCGACTGACACGGCCAGCGAGGGTGCGAGGGATCCACTGTCATCCCTCAGCTGACGCTCGGGACGGTGCCTGCAGCTGCAGAAACTGTTCTTGATGTCATCATTTAGCCAAACTGTGGAGCTGGACCATCCTGCCTTCACCTGACCTGCTTTGAATTCCAACCAGGACCTGCCTCAGCTTTTACCTACGACCTCCCCCTGCGAGCGCACGTACCGTGTACTCATGCGTTATCAACTCCACGTCTCTCAAATGGTGACTTGTAGAATTTTTCTGAGCTGTTTCCTACAAACCTGCACTGAATCTGTTTTACTTAACACAACCTGGGGCTGGACAGAAATAAACAGCTGAGGTAACGGCACGAATATAAGATATCGCAGACAGTGGGGACATCTGGCAGGTGTCAGCAGAAAAGTCTGGAAGTTCTCTTTTGTGATACCTAATATGTCAGGAAGTACACGAAGTATTCTATGCCTATGATTCAATTTAATCCTCACAACCACCACGCGAGGAGGTGTTACCAGCTCTGCCTCACAGAGGAGGCTCAGAGCGTGTGCTGCGCTGTCCTCCAGACCCCAGGCTGCCCCACTGCAGAGTCCAGCGAGGTCTTCCACTCTCGGCTCATCCACTGCTCCTCTGTCTCACATGCTCCATGACAAAAGCTTGTCGGCCCTGTTGGGTCCCGTCCTCCTTTTCAGCATCGAGCCTTAGTCCAAACTGAGCCGTGCGTGTCCCCACCTCCTGCCTGAAACTCAGGCATTTCCAAACAAAGCAGGGAGCCTGGGAGAGCAGAGCGCCTGCGGCCATCACTCGTGGGGTATGGTGGCCGGGCGCCTGGGGCCCAGGGGACGGCTGTGCATGGCCCGTGTCTGCTGTCCAGTCCCCAAACAGTCCGATGGACTATGGCCTGCACCCTGAACCATGGAGAGAGGGGCCGGGGCACTAGGGAAGCAGCTGTTTGCACAATTCAGGGAGAGCGGAGAGATGGGGTCGGCAGAGGGTGCAGACAACTGGTGGGAACTGGCCGCCCGAGTTACAAACTCCAGCTCACATGGAGAAAAGGCAGCCCACAGGCAAGAAGTCTGCCTCTTACTGACCTCAAAACCACATTTTTCAAGATAGTTATATGAACGCAGTTTATACTAGAGGAAAAGAAATCATTTTTCCTCAGAATGACACTGCACTTAAACTTGTGGAGCATATACCAAAAACTACTATAAGTATCCCTTCATCGCTTCATGAGGAAGCTACGCCCAAGATCTTGGGAAGGTACGAGTAAAACCCATAAAAATAACACAATAAATATATTTTGGTATTTACCTCGGAAAGAGCGCCTCTCTTAGCCCCATCTTAGTATTTTTCAAACCTGAAAAAAAAAAGTTAATTTCACCAACTTCACAATGCAAAACAATTGTTCGTATGGTTCCTGAGTTCCTAGCTTTCAAAATCTGTCAGCCTAGTAATATGATTTTACCTAAGAAACATTCCCGAAATGCATCCCCCCCCAAAATGTATCTTGCAATTTTCTCAGAAAAGTAATTTTTTGTAAGTTTTTTAAGTCTTTTTTTTAAAACAAAACTATATAAAACTGTTTTCTAGCAAATCAGTGACTACTTTTGCACTTTGCCTTATGTTTAAAAAAAAAAAAAACAGTTCAATCAAATCAGAAGTAACAGGTGAAAAGAAAGGAATTTCATGTAAGGGCCATGCTTCACTGAGCAGCTCCCAAGTGGCTCTTTCAAGGATTAAGTGCTGGGCAAGCAGATTCCCCCATGCAAAATGTCTTCATTCACGGGCCTTGTTTGGTTTGGTTAATCCAACTTTGAGCCACCTAATTTGGGTCACACAAATGCTTTGGAAGGGGTTAGGCTGCCCACCGCACTCCCAGTTGAAAGGTTTCAATGATCCCTTGTAACAAACCAAAGAAATTCTTCTTTAATTAAAATAAAAACATTGCCTCGACAGCTTCCAGGCACCTCACACATTCAAAGTCACCCCAAAAGAAACCACAAATAAGTTCAATGCTTTTATTGACATCTGTCTGTATTTCCAGGGTTTTTTTTTTTTTTAATAAAGAATATATGAGTGTAGAAGTGTGGCCTTTTAATAAGCTGCATGTGCTAAAGCCAACACACAATGGACCCTGAATAATTATGTTCCTTTATTATCATGGACTAAAGGGAGGGACAGTGGGGAGGAAATGCTGTGGCCCAGAGTCCAGGAATCGGCAGTGACAGTTCTGAAACCCAGCACCGAAACCCAAATGGATCCTTCTGAGACAGGAAAACCCAGGCACAGGTAAATCCAGAGGGAGGACAACGCAGAGAGCCCCGTGGAGCCAGAACAAATGAACGAGCCACAGGGGCTCCGGAGGATGGGAGCGTCGCTCTGGGAGGTGGAGGCTGCCTGCAGGACCGGGGTGGGGGGTGCAGGGTGCCAGGGCGCTCGCTGGGAGGAAGATCCAGGCCAGGCGGGCGGCGCCAGAGGTCACGGCCTCCGGATCTGTCTAACCTCGTTGCTCATTTACCCATAGGAAATAATGTCCAAAAAATCTTTCCGTTCCTGTTATGATTCTGAAATCAATACAAAGCAGCTTTCGCTCCCTACTCTGTCAGATCGGCAGGACTGTGAATAGTGAGCATTTCTCAGGCCATCCTGCCCCTTGGGCGCAATTGCTGAGCGAAAGGGTTAACTCCCCCAGGTGAGGAAAACCTGGTGAGAGCCAAGAAACAGCAGCAGCAGGAGGGACTCGACCCCCCGAAAGGACAGTAAAGGAAGCACTACAGAACCCCACTTTCCTATGGGAACACCTACCCCCTTCTCCTTATGTCACATTTCATTAGCATCCTGGCATACCGATCTGGCCAGCAAACAATTTCTTCGCTACAGTTTCCAGCCTAATTTGTAGGCAAATCTCTCCTTTCCCTCCACGTGAAATATAATACCTTTCTGTGATGAGAGGGAATTTGTTCCATCTCTGCCCCAGTTAGCGGCCGTGATTCCCTGTCCTGGTCCCCGTTGCTCCGTGGAACACCCCCGCGAAGAGCAGCATCCCTGTCCGGGATCCCTTTACTAGTGGTCTCTGTCATCCGTCACCAAGCTGGGAGGGCTGCCGAGAGCCGGTTCGGCACCCATAGCGTGGAGCGCATCCTGGCCGAGCTCTTCCTGCCGTCCGCGGCCATCCGCGGCCATCCGCGGCCATCCGCGGCCTTCCGCATCACGTCGGCGTTTCCTCACCATTTGAAATCACATCGAGCTGGGCTTTGAACTAAAAGGGAGAGGTTTTTTTTGAGGAAGGGGGCTTCTGAAAGAGTGAGGGCCACCCGCCGAGGGAGGCTCCGAAACTGGACTCCACGGCCAAGTTGCTCGATGCCATGAACGAAGCCTCCCGATCATGCTTAGCGACGCTCGCCCACTCACCGGTTCCTCCACGGCGTGAGGCCTGGACGGAGCCGGGCCTGTGCGAGGAGGTGAGGATGTGAAGATCGACAGGCCACAGTTCCAAAGGGAGGACACTGTGACCTCCAAAGCGCAGGGCTGCAGAAGGCGTCCCAGAGACGCGGACACTTGAGCTGAGCCCCAAGAGATGACGGTGATGAGACAGGGGTGTCCAGATGAAGGCAGAGTCACTGGAACGGGCTGCTAACAGGACAGACATCGGTCCTTTGGGCACCTGCGAGGCCGGTGGCCGGTCGGTCGGTCTGTCTCCCTCCCTCTAATGCGTCTGGCCCCACGGTGCCTCCCCAGCTCTCCGCGGACCAGCTGCCTCTGCCTTCTCTCCTTTCTTCCAGCCCACGGCCCCTGCTACACTCTCGCTCCCGCCTCTGGTGCTCTGTCGTCATCCAGGTAACTGCGGCTCCTCCCTCTGTCAGAGCCACCCGTCACGTGCTCAGGGAAGCATTCCCGACTCTCCAAACTGATCGATCCCCGTATTCCATCACCGTGCACTTTCCCACTGGATCACCCATCAGTCATCATTTTATAGTTAGTTGCCTTCGAGATTATTCGATGCAAGTCTATTTCCTACACTTTACTGTAACCCCACAAGAGCGGGGCCAGGAGTTCCTCTGGCTCCCTATTGCATCCCTCCCGCTGGGCGGAGTGCCCATAATCTCTGTGGGATGAGTGACCGAGTGACTGAGAGGATGACTAAATGAGTGCAGACCTCACGGAGCCCTACGCCCAGGGAAGGCTGAGAACACGGTGGCCTGGGAAAGGCTGTGTTTGGTGGGCAGGGGCTGCCAGGGGAGAAGCTAGAGAACGTCTTGAGGGAATGTGGGTCCACCAAGGATGTGAACTTGAATTTGATACGGAAAGCGGTGGGAAACCCCTGGAAAAGAGGAGGGAAGTGGCTGCCTGAAAACCTGACACACACAAAACCTGACGTGTACCGAAGTATTTGGGGATTTAGAGAACCAACGAGCAGAGAGTTTGATTTCTAAACGACACAGGGTGGGAAATACTGTGGTTTAGTAAATCCAATTGAGTTTGCTCAACAGGCAGTAAATGCAATTTGCTGTGAACCATAATTATAAATGAGTTTTATTTTTTACTCTAAAAATTTCCCCCAAAGAATCAGTTATACTGATTTTAAAAAACAAAACAGCATTTGAACTTGCACACTCTAAAGTCTTCTGTACCTTTCTCACCTTATTTACCTTTTGTACTACTTCGATTTGAATTAAATCCTCCACTGATGTACAAATTAAATGGATTTACTTTTGTTACACTGCTTGAAGCAGTTTTCACAAAGATCTGTTTTGCTTTGCTTATATCTCAACCATACCAGTTTCTGTGGGTTTTAATCATAATTTGGCAAGGGGTTTTCAGAAGTAATTAAAAGCAGCTAATCAAATCAAAAATTTTAATGGAAAGTTTTATAAACCTGTGGCACATTACAAAAAAAATGTAAATAGTATCAATGTGAGAACTGTGCTAGGTTTCACAAAAGAGAATATGAACTGTGTAAAAGGTCTTGAAATATAAACTGTTGAACAGAGAAGGCCCAAATCTGAAATTAGCCTTTTAAAGTCTTCTAAATATTTACACAGCAATGAAGTACAGAGGAGTTTTAGAGGAACTCAGAGGTAACTACAGTAGCAAGTGTAATTGTTGAAGTTTAATTTGCTGATAACGTAAGACAGATTGTAGTTATTTAAGGGAGATTCAATTGAATACATGGTTTTATAGAAATAAAATTTTAATATTAAATAAGGATATGTCTTCATGATAGCTTGACCTGTGAAGTTTAAGTATTTCATTTTTGATCAAGTTTAACCACGATGTTTTAAAATATGTGAAGCAAAATAGTATTGTTTGAACTCCGACACTGTGTCAAATACCATATGGAAAGCTTTATACGCTTAAGTTCAGCTCCTCTGTACAATGACTGACTGAGGTGGGTGTTTTTCATTCTTTTTACATATGCTAAGAACCGATGTTCAGAAAGAGTCTGCACTGCCTGGGGTCACACAGCAATCAAGTGGAAGAGCCAGGAAAAATTAAGGAAACAAAGATGAATTCTGGAATCACTGTCTGAATGAAAGCTTACACAAGAGTATTTTAGCAAATGCCAAAAAGGACCCGTATACAGGATCGAAGAGTAATCATATAAACGGCGTGCTTTGGGTTCGAAAACAAACTTCTAATTCATACAAAAAGCACTTTCTCCCGGTTTGTGTTTTTGCCCCCCTACAGAGCTTAGCACACCAAGCCCTAGAGGTCAGTGTTTATTTTGCTCATTGGGCACAGACTCTGTTCGGCAGGTTGCACGAATGAGCACTCAATAAGGACACGGCGGAGATTAGAGCCAGCCCCGCCTCCAGCCCCGCCAGCGCAGGGAGCCCCTCTCCCGCATGCTCGCAGCACTCCGGGCACACGGGTACCAACATGTGTCACGCCAGTTTATCTGTTTCTCTCCTGTTCTGAGGGCAAGAAAGTGTATTTTCTTTTCATTTTCCAGTTGTTTCTTGCTAGCACATAGAAATATTACTAATTCTTTATACTTATCTTGCATCATGTAACTCCGCTAAATTCACTTATTCTAGTAGCTTGTTTGAAGACTATTGTCTGTGAATGAAGACAGCTTTATTTATTCCTTTCTAATTTCTGTGCCCTCCATTCCCGCGTTTTTTGTGTGTTTGTTTGCTTGCCTTACTGCCCTGGATAGGACCTTCAGGATAACGAACGTCAAATAAATAGAAAAGTAAGAGCACACTCTCACCTGATTCCCAGTTTCAAAAGAAGACTGTAGTCTTTCACCGTTAAGCATGTTTGCTGTAGGTTTCTCATAGATGCTTTTTATCATGTTGAGAAGGTTCCTTTCTATTCCCAGTTTGCTGACCTTTTAAAATCAATAATAGGTACTGAATTTTATTAAATGCTACTGCTGCATCTACTGAGATAATCATATTGTTTTTCTCCGATATTCGGTTAATATGGTGAATTACCTTGATGTTAAAATGTTAAACCCACCTTATGTTTTGCATAACCCCACTGGCTTATGTGTATTCTCCTTTTATATAGTGCTAAATTGTATCTGTTGATATCTTGGTCAAGATTTTGCAAATATATTCATGAGGAACAACAGTTTCTTGTGTTTTTTTGTTTTGTTTTGTTTTGTTTAATGTTTCTGTCTAGTTTGGTATCAGAGTAAGGCTGGCTTCAAAAAAACAAATTATTTTCTTAAAGAGTTTGTGTAGGATTGATATTGTTTATTCATTAAATGTTTAATAGAATCCACCAGTGAATTATCATCCGAGAAGCTTTTAAATTATCAGTTGAAATTTTTAAAGATATTAGGCTATTCAAATTTTCCATTTTTTCTTGTTTCAGTTTTCATAATTTATAATTTTCAAAGAATTAGTCCATTCAAGTTGTACATTTATTGGCATAGATTGTTCATTATATTCCATTATTATCCTTTTAGGCTCTATAGGATCTGTAGTAATGTCCTCTCTTTAATTCCTGATATTGACAATTTGTCTTCTCTCTTTTTTCTTGATTAGTCATTTATCCACTTTATTGATCTTTTCAAAAAGAACAGCTTTGGTTTTATTTGTTTCTTTAATGTTTTCTATTATAATATTTCACTGGTTTCTACTCTCATTTTCTTCCGTTGGTCTAATTCACCGCTCTTTTTCTAGTTACTTAAGGTGGAAGCTTAGATGGTTGATTTCAGACATTCTTCTTGTCCAATAGAAACATTTAAAGCTATAATTTTCTCTCTAAGCACTGTATTGGATTCATTCCACACATTTTGACGTCATATTTTACTTATCATTAGATTTAAAATATTTTCTAAATTCTCTTTGATTTCTTATTTGACCTATGGGTTATTTAGAAGTATGTTATTTAATATCTAAATATATAGGATTTTCCAACTATCTTTTTTATATTGATTTCTAATTTAATTGTTGTCATCAGAGAACACATTCCGAATGAGTTCAATACTTTTAAATTTACGGAGACTTATTTTATAGCCAAATAATGGTCTACCTAGGTCAATATTCTATGAGCACTTAAAAATAAAGTGTATTCTGTAATTATTAGATGTGGAATTCTATAGACAGTAATTAGGTCGAAGTTGTTCATGTCTTGTATATTCTTGTTAACTTTCTATCTGTTCTTTTGGCCAATTATTGAGAAAGGATTGTTGAAATCTCTAAATTGTAATTGTAGAAATGTCTAAATTATAATTGTAGATTTATCTATTTTTTTAGTACTGTCGGGTTTTGCTTCATGCGCTTTGAAGTTCTGCTATGAAATGCATATTAAATACATTCAAGACAGCTCTTTCCTCTTCATGTATTGCCCTTTTATTATTAAATATCCCTCTTCATCTCTGATAATATTCTTTGAACGAAGTCTACGTTGTCTGACATTAACATATCCTCTCCAGTTTATATATGATTAATCTTTGCATAGAATATTTTTATCTTCCTTTTACGTTTAACCTAAATGTGTCTTTATAGTAAAATTTTCTATCATGTAAGTAGTATTTAGTTATATCTTGCTTTTTTACTCAGTCTAAAAAGAAAATCGCACTGAATATAATTATCAATATGGTTGGGTGTTAATCTATAATACTGCTATTTGTTTCCAATTTTCCTATATTTTCTTTGATTCTTTCATTTTATTTTTCCTGTCTTTTGGATAAGGAGAGTTTTCTTAGTACTCTATTTTATGTCCTATATTGCCTACTATACCTATTTGGTTTTTTTTTTTAGTCCTTGTTCTGAGGTTCACCATACATATCTTAAACACATCACAGCCAATCTTCAAATATTATTATATCACTTTATGTATAATGTAAGAATCAACAGTATACTTTTAATTTTGCCTCTATCCCTGGTACTATTGTATACTTTATTTCTGCATATGTAATGAATTACAAAATATATTATTTTTGCTACAAATGTCTAATTCTCTTTTTTCCTCCCTCTTTAATTCCCTGCCCCTCCCCCACTTCCACCCCTGACCTACAGATGTTGCTGTCTCCCCTTAAGAAGTGGATCTCTGAAGGCCCCGTCTCCTTCCACGTGCTCACGGCATGCACCCAGGGCCTGGCACCCCCAGTGTACTCGGAGGACCTGGTGCACCCGGGGCCTGGCCCACCTGGGGTATGGTCCGTGGCTCCATCTGACGCGCAAACCCAGGACCTTCTATGTGCAAAGCAGACGTGCTCCACTACAGTATGGAGCCACTCTCTAATTCTCTTTTAAATGAAAAAAATAAGGAAAATTTTTATATATTTACCCACACTGATACTCTTCATTCCTTTTGATTAAATTCCATCTGGAATCATTTCCCTTCAGCCTGAAAAACTTTTAAAATATTTATTGTAATGCAGATTTGCTGCTAATGAACTATGAACTATTTAGTTTTGTTGGTCTGAAAATGTTTTTGTCCTAACTTTGTTTTAGAGGGTTATTTTCACTGAATATAAAATTCTCAGTCGACAGTTTTATTTTTAGCACATTAAAAGTGATGTTCCATTGTCTTCTTGCTTACATTGTTTCTAGTGAGAAGTCATCAATTTTCTCATCTTTGTTTCCCTATATGAAGTGTATTTTTTTCACTCGTTGCTTTTAAGATTGTCTCTTTACTACTAATTTTCAGCAAACTGAATACAACATACCTTGGTATAATCTTTTTCATATTTTGCTTGGCATTCATTAAGCTTCTTGGATTTGCATGCCTACAGTATTCATTAAATTTGGAAATTTTTCACCTATTATTTCTTCAAATATTTTCTCTCTTCCCACCCTCCAACCAGCAAATCACTTTAGGGACTCAAATTATATATATATATAATGTATGTATGTATGTATGTATATATATACACGTACATACATTATATATACATACACGTACATATACACATATATATGTATATAATGTGTATATATGTATATAGTATATATATACACATATATGTGTGCGCGTGTGTATATGTACACATATATGTATTTATATTTACATATTCAAGCCTTTGATATTTTCACACAGGTCATGGAGGTTCTATTTTATTTTCAGATTTTTTTCTCTATGAACTTTGGTTTGGAAAGCATCTATTGCTATGTCTTCAGGTTCATTAATCTTTGCTCTTAATTTGCTCTTAAGCCTACCTAGTGCATTTCCTATCTCATATATTGTGTTTTTCTCAAGAAGTTCTATTTGATTTTTTTTAACCTTCCCTTTCCTCGCTTGATTTGTTAGGCTCCACTGGTGACAGATATAAAAATAATACCAAATCATGGAAAGATGCTTTCTAAAATCAACTGAATTCTAATAGTAGTCGTGTAGTGGAAACTGAAGAGCCATCTTAACGTCCAAAGGGAGCCTGACCTCTGTATCAGTAGTGATACAGTTGGCAATATAAATAATATTTTTAAAAACTCAGAGAATGAGCAGGCATAATGAATAGAAGACAGGCTTTTGAGTCAGGCAGATCTGAATTTGTACCCTAATTCTGCCACTTATGTAACTTTGGTCAAATTCCTTAATAGTTTTTTCATGTGGACAGTAGAAGTAATAACTTCTTAATATAAGCTGTTAAGAAAATTAAGTGCTATGATATAAATAGAACTCAGTACCAGGCACATAGTAGGAATTCAATAAAGCTTCATTCTATTATTTTATTATTTATAAACTGATGCAAATAATTTCCATTTCATCTGTAGAAAGAATTCTTATTCTATTTGTTTTTTAGCTAAACTGTATGTCTAGATTTTGAGCCCATATAGAATAGAACCCAAATTACTCTATTTTGTGCTTTCAGGCAAAATTTCAACTTTTAAAAATGAAAATCATCTTTCCCTCATAGAATAGTTAGTCCCTTGTTACTTTGCATGGGTTGCTTGGGAAACCCACTCTCAATAAACAGGCACCCCATTTGCTGGTGTCAATAAAGCCTAGCAAATGTATCTACCAAGAGTGCTGGTTAAAAACTACAATTATGGCAGGACACATTTCTTAAACCAGGATTGTTTCTGTTTACAATGTTTTAATGTTCAAATGGGACCTGTACCACGCCAGATGTGTCTTCAGTTGGGTATTCAATGAGCTGGATCCCTCTATAATCAGGATGGCTATATATACCAGTTTGCCTAGAACTATTCCAGTTTATGCCTGTTGTCCCAGAATAATTAATAGGGCCCTCTTTCAGTCCCAAAAGTGTTTGGATAATCACTTACGCGGTCACTATTCTACAATTATTTTTTACCAACTATATTCTGCAATTTATTTGGTAGATGCCATAAGTATTACTGTGCTGTTGTTACTCTTAAAGCTGAGTAAGGGTTAAGACCTATATTAACATCTGAAATGTGAGAAACACCACCTGGTGAAGGAAATTACTTTCATGCCAAACTCATTATAAATTTAGAGAAAACAGATTGCAACTTAATTAGAAAATGAAAGAGGAGAAACAGATCTCGACAGTATTGCCAAACAGAATGTTTACAGGATGAGGATATACAAATGGGATTGTTAGATCAGAAAGTTAATATTTGCAAAACTTTCTGTCCACTAGCAATCCTTGGATTCTAATGTAGCTACTGTATGGTAATTCTCAAGGGTTGAAAGTGAAGGTGAGTGAGTGGTAGTTGGTGAGTGGAAAAAGAATCAATATCTAACCAGAGAATAGGTATATATCATTAGAAAAAGCATATGCAATATAGTTTTACATATACATTCTGGATACTAATCCTTCACTGGTTGTATGCATTGAAAATATTTTCTCCCACTTTGGGAGATGATTTTCACTTTCTTTATAATCTCTTTTGATGACTATAAATTCTTAATTTTAATAGAATCCAATTTAAAAAGTTTTATGATTATGAATTTTTTTAATTAAGAAATCCCTCACTACATTAGGGTCATAAAGACATTCTCTTACATGTTTTTCATATTTTTTTCCTTTCACAGTTAAATATTTAATCCAACCAAAATTGTTTTTTCTATACATTGAGCATAGTACACTCAATGAGTAATACTTCAATAATTTCATTTTTTCTCAATATGGTTATACAGTTGCTTCAACAGCATTTATTGAAAGTACATTCTTTACCGTTATGCAATATGATCTCTGTCTTATTTGGACATTTCTGTTTCTGGACACATTATTATGTTACATTTGACCTATTAGTATAATCCTTCATTAATTCCATAGTGCCTTAAAGCTTTACAATTACACTTGACCTTTGAGTAGAGCAAGTTCTTCAAGAGTGACTCTTTTGGGGTCTTTACTCTTCCATGTAAATTTTAGAATCAGATTGTCAAGGCTCACAAAGAGCCTGATTGGAATTTCTTATTGGAACAGCATTAAAATCTACAATCTTTATAATTTTGAGTTTTCTTGTTCAAAAACATGTTCTCTTTCTCCACTAATTTAAGTTTTATGAATTTCTACATAAAAAACTTACATATCATTTGTGAGATTTTTTTTCTCCCTAGGTACTTTTTATTTTTATTGCTATTGTGTTAGTTTTGTTAAAATTTCATTTTCTAACTTCCAATTGTTTATGCATAGACATAAAATTCCCTTTTGTATATTAGTTTGGTACCCAAACAAACTTATTAACTCTTAACAATCAAAATAGTGTATGTGTAATTTATCTGTAATTTGGGTGGGGATCTTTTTATACAGACAATCATAATATCTGCAAATAATGACAATTTTATACCTTCTTTTCCAATCCACATACCTTTTATATCTTTTTTCCTTTTTTTACTGCTGATAGGTACCTCCTGTAAGAAATCGAAAAGTGGTTTCTCTTGAGAATAATGTTAGACTAGGAGGTCCCAACCTTTATCTCCCCAATAGAAACAGTATTTTAATAACTACTCATGAATGAAAATAGCACTGAGAGTGTTTTTAAGAAGCTGCAGCAACCCAGTGGAGCACAACTGAGGATGGCTTCATAGAAAGTCATAGGAAGCATTCTACCTGCATAGCCTGGTGCCAAAGAGAGACCACAATTTCCCCTCATGGGAGCAAAGGAGGTCGGGAGAATCCCAGCAGCCCCTGCCACCACCTTTGCCATGTAGGAATCCTGTATTCTTTCCATGGCTTGATAGTTCATTTCTTTTAACACCGGAAAGATGTCTTTTGCCTAGATGTACCACAGTATGTTTATCCATTAACCTCCTGAAGGACATACTGGTTGCCTCCATGTTTTGGCAATTATAAAGTTGCTATAAACATTCATATGCAGGCTTTTATGTGGACATAAGTTTTTAATTCATTTGGGTAAATACCGGGAACACAATTGCTGAATTGTATGGTAAGAGTATGCTTAGCTTTGTAAGAAACTACCAAATTATCCTCCAAAACGCCTGTACCATTTTGCATTCCCACTAGCAATAAATGCTGTTCCTGTGGCTCTACTCTTCATTCAGCATTTGGTGTCGTCAGTATTATGGATTTGGGTCATTCTAATAGGAACGTCATGGTCTCTCGTTTTAATTTGCAATTCCCTGATGACATATGTTGCTGAGCATATTTTTATATGCTTATTTGCCATTTATGTATCTTCTTCGGTCAAGTATCTGTTCAGGGTTTTTTTTTAATTTTTACTTTTCAATTAGAGTTGACATTCAGTATTATTTTATATCTGTTCAGGTTTTTTGGCCATCTCCAAAATCAGGGTTTTTTTTTTCTTATTGTTGAGTTTTAAGAGTTCTTTGTTTTGGCTAACAGTTCTTTATCTATAAAGACAAGCCTATGGCATGTCTCCTCATTCTCCTGATGGTGTCTTTCACAGAGCAGAAGTTTTTCATTTTAATAAAGAACAGCTTATCAATTATTTCTTTCATCGATCATAACTTTGGTTTTGTATCTAAAAAGCCATCACCATACAAAGGTACCTAGATTTTCTCCTATGTTTTTCTTCTAGGATTTTTATAGTTTTGTGTTTTACATTTAGATCTATGACCTTTTTTGAGTTAATCTTTGTGAGGTTTAAGGCCTGTGTCTAGATTTTTTTTTTTTTTTTTTGCATGTGCATGTCCAGTGGATCCAGCACCACAGACTATAAAACTAAAGATAAGAGAGAGATAAGATGAGCCAATGCCGCTCAGGGATCAATTATATACATTCGAATTCTGGAAAGGGCTCAAATGAAGAACTAAGGCAACCAGGCGGCAGAGGAGGTGATGAAATTGGAGGCCAGCCTAGGAAAAAGCACATCATTGTTACAGGGATAGAAAGGAGGACCAGATCCAGATGGCCTCGGTTTTAGAAGTAGAGAATGTAAAATGCGTTGTGTGTGCATGCGTGACATGTTTTATGATTTGTTATTGATACTTTGGGTAAAGTTAAAAATAAATTGCAATTCTCATCTTCTATCCATCCCATGTGTGATTAAAATCTGGGAAATGTTTAATGTTTTCTTTTGAAATTACTTGTTAATTGCTTTTTTTTCATTTTTGTGAGCTGCTGAGTGTGAACAATAAGGATTACACATCATCCTTTTCCTCAAGGAATGAATAACTACTTAATTTTATCCCAAAAGACTTATTAAAAGCTTCAGTTTTCTTACTTATAACTAGTGACCTAAAGAGATTTCTTAATTTTCATCCTCAAATAAGACTACAGCTCACCTAAATGTAGAAAGATGAAAGGATCTGATGAATATTACAGACTTCAATCTCACTAAATGATCATGAGTGGAGTCTGGGCTTAATTAGTACTCTGTCCTAAGTGAGAAGATAGAGCTTCTAGGGTTATCTTTTTAATCTATTTTTTAAATTATTAAAATGATTCAGTTCCAACTGTTCTCCATACTCAGATGATCTTACTGTTCTTAAGGGATGCCTAGAACATAGAAATGAGAGTTGACAGGTGACACCATGAGCTTCCTCTCTGAAACTGGTACCAGATGGAATATTGATTACTGTGGCCAGTTAAACAGAATTTAGTTAAATTAGTAGCACTATAAACCTCTTCACTCTCACCAACCTGATGATCCTGGAGCCCATGAAAGGGCTGTGGCCCTCTTAAATTCAATAGCCTGCTTTGTGCTTGTTTATCTAAAATAGATCCTTCAGCCAGCTGGGGTGGAGGACTGACGTGATTCCTCTGAGAACTCATCTTGGAGTGACTGCTAAGAGGTGAGGGTCAGTGTAACTGTCCCTGAATCTATAAGGTGAAGCATCTCTTCAGAACCAAGGATGTGCACTGCTCTTCTGCTAGTCCATGAAGAACCAAGGATGTGCACTGCTCTTCTGCTAGTCCATGAAGGCTTACTGATAATGCTAAGAGAAAAATTAATTATCAAAAGTGAAGGGAAATTGTACTTAGAGCTGAGCCCAAAGCTAGGCCAATGCTCACACTGCTGGCATACTTAAAGAGACCTAGAATGCAAGTAAAAGAATTTTTTATACTTTTCTTGCAATATCTGCCCTCCCCATTCCCCATACACTTTCTCTTGTCTTATACATTTTTTGGAGTTATTTTCTATGGAGAAATTTCAAAAACAAATGAATTCCTTAAAGCAGAGTTTCTATTCTGTCTCTCTCATGATGTAACGAAGGTGGATTTACTGTGACATTAATGAGGCTTAAACTTTGGGGTGCCTTTCTTACGTAGGTACAGGTCATATGTTTTTGAAAAATTTGAAAAATACATTTTAATCGTGATTGGTAAAGACTGCTGTCTCCTCCATTTGTCCTCCCCTTGTATGAGGCATTGGAGCAGCTGAGGACTTGGGGATCTGGCTAAGGGGAAGTTGAGCTACGGAGACATTTAATTTGGGTGAATGAAATATATTTATTGGTCTACAGTCGACTTTTGAGTATGGTTAAGTTATCGTGAGCTGTTCTGTGGGAGGAATGGATTCCAGGAATTCTGTTACTGCCCATCGCTCCTCGGGCAGTGTCCTGAGAGGAAGGTGCAGAGCCAAAGGCAGTAGCACAAGATGAGCATGTTCCGTGGTGGCACCAGAGGTGTGAGTGTGGTGGAGAAAAAAATAAACAGTTTGAACGTCAGACATCTAAAGTATTGGCAGAAGATTCCATTTTCATGGGTGTCAAGTCAAAGCAGAAGTTCTTGTCTATCAGAAATATTTGATAATTCAGAACATACAATTACAAACCCAAAACAGAATAGCATTCATTGTCATATAACTCCTGTATAAAATCAATAAAAATTACTCTGATGTCAATAAGAAAATTTGTAACAGGAACATTTTCAAATCATGCCAAGCTTAATTCATTAAGATGAGATGATAAATTTCAAATAGAAGTAATAGATATGATCTTGGATTAGTTAATAATCTAGCTAATAAAGAGCAAATCATATAATACATTGGAAAAATATTAAAATATCTTGCTGCTTTGACATAAAATACCAGTAGTGATGATGATTTCAATGAGAACACAAACTGGCTAATGAGAGTTTGTTAATTCAATGGCTATTTAAAATTTATCGCTGAATAATAAAACTTGAAATTCCCTGAAGTCTTACAGTGCAGGCATGAAAAGGCATAATAAAAGTTTTTCTAAACATGATAACAATCCTTAAAACTTATACATTACTAAGTTATAAAGCAGAAAGAAACTGTGAAAACTATCAGTAATTTTTTAAAAATGTGATCAACAGTGCCAGAGAAAAATTGAATTATCTTTCAATTCATTCTATAGAAAATAAAATTAAAATTGTTGATAACTGAAGAGATGAATAGAGAATATGCAGTCAAACAATGTAGGTAAAGTATTAAAATGCTGTATCAAGCAGTTATTTTAAAGGATTTTGTAATATTTGTGGCAACTGTCAGCTTTTTACGAATGTGTAATTTACGATTTTCTGATTCTAAATATATATATGCTTTGTACTGTGTCGCATTACATTTTTAATTCTTAGAAGTACACCAAAATTGTATACGCTTCAGATACTCACAAAACCTGAATTCTGTGTTCAAATGAATGTCACCTAAGCACTCACGGCAAGTCAAGAATTATTACACTTATAAGAATCATACCTCTCTTTAAATCCAGACTTAAGTAAACATAGTTAGAGAGTCAGTAACATCAGCCTCTTCTTGGCACAATCTGCAAAAGTAAATCAGGAAGGTAAAATCACAGCCAATATTCTAAGTCATTAATTTCTCCATGTCTCTATGATTCGTTAACTTCTATCAGGAGGTCAGCTGATCTATTGATACAACAAATATCTACTAAAGAGTGGAAAGAATCCAAAAAAGTTATGTCCAAGGAGTTTGCCAATCTATCCAACCAGAAAAGGAAAATCCTTCTGAAATGCAGTAGGTGAGAGATAGGAGCATTGAGAGAGAGAGACATTGAGTTCAAAACTTTTCAAGAGAGAAGGATGATAGCCGGTAATAGCAATAAGGAAAATCCTGAAAGGTGTATTGATTTATTTATTTTCCTACCCATTACAGAAAAGATTTAAGGAGCTTACAAGGACTTGTCAATACAACAAGAGAAAATACATTAAAAGTTGGAGCAAAATAATGACAAAAAAAAAAAGGAGGGAGAGAGAATAAGGAGCCAGAAAATAGGTCTAAAAGCTGTGATCCACATCTCCCCCAGTTGTTCCAAGAGGGCCTCAAACTCAGCTCCTGGTGTCCAGATGAAGAGAAAATTTATTCACAATGAGCCTTGAAGGAAGGGTTGGGTTGAATAGAACTAAAATGAAATAATGGAAAACCTGAGAATTAGGGGGTTTGCAAGTTTTTCCCCACTTCGACCAGGTTAGAGACCCTCTCTCTGGCCCAGAGATCACACACTGGGGGATGCTGATCACCCCACCAGGCACCTTACTCTGATTAGGCCTTGGCAGCTGTGCTGCACTGTAAGTTATACCTTTTAAAGTCCACGCCAACAAAACCCTTAACACCTGTGATGTCCACATGGCTGCCATAGATTAGGGGCTAAGAGAGAAAAATAACGCAGCTATTTCAACACTGGACCCACAGGAAAACTAAAGAGGGCAGCATCCGAGTCGATCTAGATAAAGAGCCTTGTTTTGCTCTTTCAGGACACTCTCTATCGTTGCTTTTGTATTTGTCACATTTGCTTTTGTCATCAGAAAATATTAAGGACATAAAGAGAAAACTATAATTTTCAATAAAATGTTATGATCACATTATTGCTATAAATTATAATAATCACGTTATTTCGGTGATAATATTTTATACTCTGCACCTTTCAGAATCACTAGAGTACAATGTCCAAGTAGATTATTCTCTAAAACTCATGCTGTTAATACACTCGATGCTAAGCAAAAAAGAGTACATTACTATTATTTATTATTACTAACACTAATATCCCGACTTATACATACAAAGATGGGATCTGTTCTCTTATTACAAGAGCAATACATATTCATCGAAGAATACTCTGACAATACAGATCAGCAAAAGGAATAAAATAAAAGATCCTAATGCGCAACCAAGGCTGAAAATCACCGGGGGGGACTCTGTCCCATCAGCTCGCCCCTCGCCAGCTCCCTCACTATTGTGGGCGCACCCTTCACCTCTGAACGAGAGGCCATGGCTGACACCTGTTGGTACACAGTAAGGACACTGGTGCTCTGGCAGATGTGCACCGACAACCCTGCATTAACCTAATTTTCTTAAAGGGTTTTAACACTCATCAGAATTTTTTTTTTTTTTTTTTTTGATTCTTTAGCTAGTTGTTACCTACATTTGTATGTGATGGGAAATCACGTACATTGTGACAGATTGCCAACTAGTCAGAGACAGGTATTTTGGAAAACAGTCTCTTGCCTGGTGAATTCGTCTTCGATGAATATGTATTGCTCTTGTAATAAGAGAACAGCTACTTTTAAGGCAGAGAATGATTTTTTAAGATTAATACAATTACAACAAAGCCATTCATAATACAATCTGATGTTCACTTGACCTGTGGGAATAAGAAGCCGGTCCCTTGAGAAGCTGGGAAACCAAAAAGCGTAGGAAGTCGAGGAACTGGGAGCTCCATCACTGACTCGCCTCTCTTGCCTCTGTGAACACGGACTGAAGTGGGCGCAGTGCATCCGACCTGAGGCTAACCTGTGTTCATGTGGGCTGGGAACATGTCTGGCCACGTCTGGGAGGCTGGTGTGGAAGTGGGCAACGCCACTTTTCCATTTTTTGGAAAAGTCAGTCATCCTAAAGGAGAGACAACACGAGAGGCCCAAGCATCACTGGGGAGCGGATTTTGAAAGCTGTGGGATAACTATCACTTGGGCGATTGTCCCAAAGGTGAAGGAGCTAAGGAAAACCGAGGAGGCATTTCAGACCTGTCTGTGAGATGTGAGAGCAGAAGAGAAGAACTCTGTGGCTATGAGACCCAGTGTACTGCCATGGAGGACATAATTAAAGCTCACCAGAAACAGAACACAACAGCCTCAGCACGACCTCACACTGTCGCCGAGAAAAAGCAGGAGAAGACATTCACTGAGAAAAAGCAGACCACCCAGGCTGGACACCAAAGGCAGAAACCACAAGAAAGGTGTTCACAGATTTGGCTACTTAAAATTTTAGAAACTTCTATTAAAAAAACAAACACAGAAATAAAATTAAAGACAAGTGAAAAATTGAGAACAGTGTCTATATCATATACGATCAACCAAAGATTAATATCACTTCAAAACACTATTATAAATCAATGAGGAGATAATTATCACCATCACCAATCTCCCTCCAAAAGAAGAGAAGAACATGAACAGCTAATTCACCAAAGGAGAAATACAAATGGAAAATAAGTATATTTTTTAAAGGAGCAAGCACACTAGATATCAAAGAAATGTAGCTATCTTAAACTAAAGGTTTTCAGTTTTAAAATGTATTTTATTGTATTATTATTAACAATAGTCTGTACATTTGGGTGCATATTTGGGCTTCTGGAATCAGCCTAGATTAAAATCCCAGTTCTGCTACATACTAACTGTGGGATACTGGATAGATCTTTTAGCCTCTCTTAACCTCAGAACTCTCATTTGTAAAATAGAGAAAACTATGCCTACATCACAGTAAAGTCATGAGGAGTGAACGAAATCATGTCTATAAAGTACATAGCATGTAGTTAAGAATCCAATAAGTGTCTGCTATCGTATTAGTGCCTATTCTGGTATACTGCGTAATAGACTATCCTGCTAACCAGAAACCGGGATCATCTTACTTCTTCCAGTTTTTTGAGTTATTTCGAAATTATGTACACACACACACACACACACACACACACACACAAACACACACACATACACAAAAGAGATAATGAACAATTGTTTTAAAGACTGAAATACTAGTGCCAAAACAATTAACAAGTATTTAGGTCTTGACTTTTTAAAAGCCATTCCAAAGGATAATTTTGCTTCAAAGTAATTCTTGACTCCATTATTTTTCTGTAAGTATAAACACTGTGTGTGCTTTTTAAATCATGAGGCTAAAATCAGGGTTAAAAGACAGGTATACAACTTAAACTCAGGAATTCCTTAATCAAAAGGTAACCAAGTCATGAATAAAATTATTTCATCATTTTAGAATTTAAATTTGATAATGTTGAAAAGGTTAATTAGTAACTTCTCTCCTTTTGACAGCTAGTAAAATACAAATGGTAATATATTAGATATATTGTTAAATACATGTATAATGTATGTATATAGTGTTCTGTATCAAAGTGATTCAAATAAAAAATAAAATTATTTGGTCAAGTAATTGTGCTAATAGGAGTAAGATACTGATGATTTGCAGGAAAACAGGAAAACATTTTTCAACCATACTTCTTAACATAAAAACTATCAGCGTAACATGTAATTGTAGCAACAAAAGCCACCTTAACTCCCAAACCAGAGGTAGGAAGCCTTCTGAATTCACATGGGTAGTCACTCCCTCACAGAATACAGTGATCATGGAGGACATAAATAAAAGGAAAACCATGGAGGAGGGATTTGAAAAAGAAATGACTGCATTCATGCACATTTAAAGTAACCTTTACAAATCAAGCAATGCACTTCAGTTTTATATCACAGGAAATAAAGACAAAGAATCGAAAGGCAAAGGGAAAGAATTGGGGGTGGGCAGTAAGTGAAGGGAGAGAAAGACTGATCAAGGAGAAGAGAAAAAGAAACTGAGCTAAGGGAAGGCAGTTAGAAGAACACACACAAACAGGACACGATTCAAAGAAGACAGAAAAAGAAAGAATAGAAATGAGCACATGGACACATGCACAGTACAAAAACATCCGTGGAAACCAAATATCCACCCCCCTCCCCCCTAAAAAAAGACATAACACAGAAACACATTTTTAAAAAGTAATATACTCTCTTATGACCTTTCTTCAACTAAGCCGTTAAGGATAATCGAAGTGTTGTGTTTTTGCAACTACAGGCATATACACAGAGCCATGACATCTTTTTCTGGTCCCCATAGTCTGGGTGAAATTAACCTAAAGATTAGTTCTGGCCCAAAGTCTAGAGGTTGTTCACTCCCACATTTGGCAATTAAAAATATTACATCTTCTGCTGTATGTCCTAAAACAGAAGGCTAGAAATAATAAATAATACATGCCCTGAAGTTTTTGACATTTCACCAAAAAAACAAAAACAAAAAAAAAAACCATGAGCCACTTCCCCTTTGTACTGACTGAAAGACTTTCCAAAACTGGCATAGACATACTTTTGTTTAAATAAATTGGTCTTTTTAACTTGAAATTAGCAAAATCTTATTTCCTGCATATAAAAACTTTACATTTTAATTTAATTGTAATAAAGTATGAATCCTTTTTAACCTGGATTTTTTTAAAGTGTCGCCCACTGGTGTAATGAAAAGAGGATGTGAAATTATTTTTAACGCTTTCAGACAATACTACAAAACTTACCTTCTCCACTTTTAGCCTAATAGAGTAAATCATATGAAAGTTCTGTGGTTTCTTTTATTTATAAAACAATCCCTTTTGAGTCTTACCATGGAGTAGCAAAGTTTTCCATTCCTTTCCTTTGAAGAAATAATGTAGAGAAATCACCCTCTGATTATAAAGCAAATCCAAGATATAGTTTGACAATGAGATGTTTTATTAAACTTGATACAGCTGCTATATAAGAATTCCATGGAAAAAATGGGGTATCAAATTCCTTTGGATCTAGGTCTCTGCTTTATAAAGTCTGTCACAAAAAGATGTCATCTCACTGCATCCCATGGCTGCAAACAAACGGATGACCGAAAAGCTGCCATCTACTTTTCAGGCAAGACCAGTTCCTGACTTGCCCGTGGTATTACGCATCCTCCTAGCAAAATAAAAGTCCCGATCCCCATCTCTACAGTGTGTCATCCCAGACAGGTGAGCTCGATGAAGCACCTGGGTGAATGCCACATCTCTGCCTGGTATGAGGTCCACACGGGATCAGCCCTGGGAAGGCCATCTTCCCCTCAACCGGACAACTCTACTCGAACTACTCTGCGACTCCTTGGAGGGATGGAACTTCTAGAAAAGAGAGAGTGAGAGAGAGAAAAAAGTCTGAATATTGAAAGGAATATACAAATGATCAAACTGAGCTACATCAGAGCCAAGGGGAAAGAGGAAGAAGTTGGAAAACAAGCAGCTTTGCAAAATGCTCTCCGGCATGACGAAACTGACCGGTGTCGCTAGACCTGACGTGCCATCTGAGAAGGCCACCCGTCCTCTTACCAGGCATGGGTGTCTCTGCAATGAGGTGCTTGTGGTTGGTAAACAGTTCAGTGGATTCTTGTTCTACTGATCTCTCCTCCAGGTCTGATTCCGGGATCGGAGCACAGCCACCTGGTTGAAAAATACAAACAACATTTTAAGCAATTTGTAGGAAATGTGCCTCTTCGCATGACAACCACAGCTTTAAAAACATACCAATCATAAAGATAATAAATGATGTGACAACAGTCTTCAGGAGACCAAACAGGAGTAGACCAGAAAGAATGATCTTAAATGTCTCTCTTTGGTGAAAATACTGGGAATGAGTTATTGCCCCCAAAGACATATTACACCGAAGATCGCTTAGCAATACCAGCAATGGTGTTGTTTTTAAGCTTATCCTTTTTAAATTCAGAAAGGACAAAACCTATAGCATATGTGACATCCATATGATGGCACTTCAGCAAGAATTCCCTTTAATATCAGAGCATCAGAAACTATTTAAAAGGAAAAAAGAAAAAGCAAGCACATTGACCGCAAGGGAAATAAACCTTCCCTGAGCAAAGAGGAAGGCCGCTGCTGTTATGAGATGGTGACTTGGGGGAATTTCTCTGGAATTTGAGTCTATCCCTGAATCCCAACACTTTACAGCATAGACAGAAGCACCTCATAATTCAACAGCAAAGCCACAAATGGCATTGCAGAAGCTTTCAATACCAAGCCAGTTCCAAGGTGACCTGAGGATGAGCTGGCACCACTGCACTTTTAAAATACTGGGAAGAAGTCATCGGACATTACCCACCAATATCTTGTGTGAAAAACTCACATGAGAATTTCCAGACTACATCTGCAACTTGATTTGACTAATTTGCTATCATTTCCTAGCCATGCGCTAACATGCTGCATACTGTACATACTTTTCTCCAAAGTCGTTTTTTCTTGTTAATGAAGTGTGATTTTCTTTCTTTTTCTGAAGCTTCCCACACACTGAGTCCAAAGCCTCCATACTCGAGTTGGGCTTTATGTGTGAGGGGTTTATGATTTGTAAACTGCAGCAGACAAATGAGAGGGGGCAGCGACATCCGAATTGAAGGCAAATACATCTTACCATTCATGCCTCGGCATCGACGCTCAACAAGAAATCGATGTTGAGGAAAATTGAAAGAAAAGCATTTCCACACGTAAGAATTAGCAGTAGCCTCAGAAGTTCCCTGAACAGGAAATGTTAGACGTATCCATCAGTGCAACGGAGCTCACCCGCTATGTCTGAAAAGGGCAAGGGCCCCATCGGGAAGAAGAGCCAGGCTTATTTTTAGCCTCTTTTCCAAGCCTTTAGATCATGGTAACAATAACTGTCATTATTAACTACTCTCTAAGTGCTAGAAACTCTGCCCATATTATCTCACCGAGTTCCTACAAACCACACCACGAAATAGATACTATTATTCTCAATTTAAGACAAGAAAACTGAGGTCTTATGAGATTTGGTTCCTACAGAGTGAGACAGAACTCACACCCAAGCCTGACAACACCTAAAGCCCATGTTATCTAACCACTTACTATATGACTCCCAGCTGCATCATTAACCAGAGATCTCAGGCGTCAGCAGGTTTATCTCACCTGGGGATCCACTGAGCTGGGTTGCCAGGGGCACTGCGCAGAGTATTGTGAAGGCCATGGGCAGTCCAGGGGCCTTGGAGAAGCCCAAGAACTGGCACCCTTCTTCTCCAACTCCAAAAGCACCCTCATCCAAATGATAAAGAAATACGATATGTGGGGGTGAGGGGGAGGTACGTACATGACTAATGACAGGAAGAAACAGAGAGAAGGGATGTGTTCCCTACAGAACAGAATCTGATCCCGAGCAAAAGAGTCAAAGAAAGGCCGGGCTTCTCATTCCAAACTCACAAATCGGTTTAAGTCATTTCTCCGGAGGCAGAGGGAGGGAGGGAGGGAGCAGGGCGAGGCCAGGAACTTGGCGCTCGTGTGTCTACTTTCACATACAAGAAAACTCCAGAGTGTGGAGGAAGTGCCCCAAGCCAAGAGATGGGAAAGCGTGCGATGACAGGTGAGCAGCGTCTGCCATGTGCACGGAGAGAGGTAGACTGATCAGCGTCTACCTTTTATTCCAGCCGACTCAATACTGGGGCAAGACAGAAGGATGAAGACTTGAAAAGCATTTCCTAGCTCTTCAATCACATGGGCACAAAACAAAAAGTCAGTTGCTGTAGACTATCAACAACTAATGTAACTTTCTCTCTTCTCCTTGGCACAAAAATTCTTGCCTGGTCCTGAGCAGAGAGAGATGACAGATCTCTCAAACCCCACCGCAGGGCTGACTGGCCACTTGCCCTGGGAACCCACCCAATTTTTTGGATGCCTCCACGCAGCCAGACTGATCGACCACAGGCCCAGAGTTTCTGCCACTTGGAAGGAACGACGGGATGTGGGACTGGCGTCCTTACTGGTAGGAAATGGGAAAAGAGGAGGAGCTGGGCAGAGAATTCCACCACCGCCCGCCTCTCTCCCTGGGTCGACTCTGAATTGCTGAGTGGATGCACCTGCTGGGCCTCTTCATGGCTCTTCGAGAGAAGAGGTCAAGGCCACCCTTTGTATTACTTCACGTGGTCAAGGTCAGTCTTTGTGTTACTTCACGTGGTCAAGGTCAGTCTTTGTTACACTTCACGTGGTCAAGGTCGGTCTTTGTGTTACTTCACGTGGTCAAGGTCAGTCTTTGTTACTTCACCTACTTCCTTTACGTGCTCCCGTTTTCCCACCTCTCTTCTCTGAGTTTGCCAAATTAACTGCCATTACTTTCATCGCTTTCATGCAAAAATCACTGGAACTGGAAGTAGGTCTAAAATACAGACCTTCGAGGTGGAACTTTGAAGTTAGGGTACCTACCTATGTGTAAGAAACAGGGGCTCCGTGTCTGGGGGTAAACAGAATGGGGATAACCCCTATTGTGCAATTACTTAAGCTTCACCCCTGGCTAACTGCGATGATGTGTATGTAGAGGTCAAGGCTGGGAGATCAAGTGGCTATGGCACAGAAACATTCATAATTATACAGATTCCGGAGTAGGATGGCTGCTTCTTCTGACCAGATATCTGGCAAAAGAAAATGGCAAGTTCAGTGCAGTTAACAGGCAACAGAATGCAAATGCAGTAAGTCAGAGGCCTCCTGGGTCTTGCTAGTTTAAGGGAAATCACAGGACTGGCGGCACCAGATATCACCAAGGAGCTCGTTAGAAATACACTCTCAGGCCCCACCCATGCCTACTGAATTAGAATCTGCTAAGGACAACAAATGAGTATCTGGTGAGATTTTTGCTAGGAAAAAATATATTTGTTTGTTAAAAATTTCAGTGTTAACAGTAAAAGGAGCAAAATAAAATATAGAACTTCCAAACTAACAAAGACCTTCTGAAATCCGTCCATGGAAATGGAGCCTGGGTCCCAAGGGTGCTGGATGGAGTACCCTTGGTTCAGAGGCCATCCCATCAAAGGAGAAGGGGAAGAAAAAACAGCTGGGTGAAGCATCCAAACACACGTCACCTGTGCAACAAAAGCAAGCCAAGGGGGAGAGCCAGAAACTTCCTGATCTGGGAATCACAGTATATGGACCTACTGTATGCTAGGCACTCAGCTATGAATTCTCAATGCATTAGCTCACTCGATCCTCCAACAATCCTATAAGGAAGAGTTCACTGGCTCCATTTTACAGTTGTAAAGGTATTAAAGTTATTTTTTTTTTCTTCTGCGTTAGTTCCCTCATTCCCTCTTGCCCCAAAGTTTCCCTGGGCCATTTTGTGCTTCCTTGCCTCAGAAATTTGCAATGGGGCCAAATCAAAAGTATCCTGAAAATACTTTCCTATCTAGCATTAGTTTTCTGTAGCCTGAGCATCACACAGCACCTTCACCACACGGACGGACTCGTGTGTGTGTGTGTGTGTGTGTGTGTGTAAATGTGCACACACATGCACACAGGCATACATGCATGTATAGTTTTCCTGAAAATTCTCCTCTACTATGTTCATTTTTCTAGTTTTTTTAAAATATGCTTTTTCTAGCCCAAGGAGAATGTAAGTTATAGAAAGCCAAGCTTCCTACTGTATAATCATGTAGCAATTTTAACTGAGTATTTAGAAACGTTTTGGCAAAATGGAAGAATGGGAGAAGGGGGAGTGAGAGGGAGGAGAGAAGATGAATAGGAAACAAGAGAAATGATGACTCATAAACATATTCTGCCGGTCTTTGTATATACACGTCTATGTAAAATATTTGGGGTGACTTCCTGAAGGTGTAGGTGATAAAACAGCAAAGGATAAAAAGACGTTAACAGTCAAAAAAATGTAACGCAGGATAGGAGGTATTGCTAGGAAGACTTGTGGATAAAACAGGAGTAACTTACACAAGGGCTACAGTAGAGATAAAAAGGAAAGCACTCTGGAGGAAAAATGAGCTCTGATCCCCTGATCAGTCCTCCACCGACCTGTTCTTCCAAACTGGACTTCAGATCAAAGGGCTCAGTCCGTCCCATGCTTGGACTGAACGTTTCCTTAAGAGCACACCATAATTGGTAAAGTTGTGATTGTTGAACTTTTTTTTTAATGAGTGGGCATGTGAGATCGTAATAAAGACAACGGGCGCAGAGCTTGTCAAAGCACATCTTGGAAATAAAGCCCTTGAGAATATGTCCCCGACTGTGTTCTTGACATGGCATGGTAGACCAGGTCGATATCATATGACAGCACTGCTAGTCTCAAGGAGGAACTGGAGAGCACATGTCCATGTCTTTCTCGTCTCCACTTCCATTCTATCCTTTATGGTAATATGGAGGCATTCGCCCTTAACCTGGTACAATTTTATAGTTTTAAAACTCAGCAAAGCAGAAGAAAGTGCCTTTCTGTATAGTCTTAGGTTTCCATTTCCAAACATGTGATATTTGTTTTTCTACGTTGCTTTTAAATCCATTCTACAACTTTTCTTTCTCCCTGTATTTTCAGATGCCATGCTGATCACATTGACAGTAGCTCATCTACTGGCACCAGAGATAATAATGGTCAACCACAGAGAGGCAGGTGAAGGTCACTGCAATGTGTGTCCAACGTGACCCTGTGGCATGTTTGA